TATTCACTGACAATGGGGAGGGATGAGCAGTCTGCAGTACATGGTGCCACTTCCTGTCAAGAGCATTTCCCTTCTTCTGAGTATAAGAGCCCCAGAGCAAGAAGACGAGGCCATTTTGGTTCTGACTGAGGCAGGACATGACAGCATCAGTGAACTCCTCCCAGCCAGCTCCTTATGTGAATTGGCTTGATGGGCCTGAAATTGAGGATGACATTGAGCAACAGGACACCTTGCTTAACCTATCCAGATAAATCTCCATGGCCAGGATGAATAAAGCTATCTATGTGTGTTGACAGCTCTTTAGAGATATTTTCCAAACTGGACTGGAGTGTAATAGGTCTTTGGACACTAAATCAGAGCCCATGAGCTTGACTGGGTCTATGATAAGGATCCTGTCCCAGGAAAACAACTTTCACATTTCGTATGTCACACATTTGGGTCCAGGTTTGAAGACTTGGTGTGGGGGTGGAAAAACAGTGTAATGTTTTCTTTCTTCTGCAATAAATCCCTTTAGCTTTATAAAATATGGTTTCCTGAACTCTCCGCTGAGGTGCTTCTTCCAGCTGTCCCGGAAGCCCACAGGCACCTTTCTGGCTGCAACGTCGCAGCCTTGTTTCTCTGAATGTAGTCCAGTTGTCCAGTGCTTAGGGGCAAGGAGGGTGGCTTGCCGAGCTCATCCTGCCCAGCCAGGGCCTTCTTGGTGGGACTGGCCATCACATCACTGTTCTCTCCAGCTATGACACGCCGGCTTTGGGTCGGCTGGTTGAGGACTGTAGGCAAGACGTTTCCTGTCCTGTTCGGGGTGCAATGAGGTGCAGATGCAAGGAGCCCTTACAGTGTTCACTGAGCTTTAGTACACATTATTTCATCCACTTTTCACAACCTGTTTTTGTCAGCAGTATCTCCTTTTTGTTCTCCAAAATAAATCCCAAATTCATTGACAGTTTTCCATCTTCTGCTACATGCTCAGTTGGTCTTGTAACCAGCCACTTAGGTTCACTGGCTTGCCCCTGATCAAATCAAAGGAGGCCATATAATGTGGTAAAAGGGATAAAAGTGTTTATTCAATGGAAGATCCAACAGAGATGGAGAAGCCTTTTGCCTCAAATTACTACCTCCCCCTGTACAGATGGACAAGGGCTGTTCATAGTCTATTTATTCTAGATACTCCCTTTTCAAATGGATGCTTACATTGGGGATCTAATATTTTTGAGTTTTTAATATATTCTAGATAGTGGCTGTCTTTCACAGGATAAGCTGGCAATTTTCCCCAATCTGTAGGTTCCCTCCATTGATGATTTCCTTTGCTGTGTACAAGTCATAATCTGATGTGATCTCATTTGATAATTATCAGTATTTCTTTGTGTGCAAGCAAGGTTCTATTTGGAAGGTCTTTATCTTACACCTATATGTTTGAATGTCTTACCCATTTTGCCTCCCAACATATTTTTTCTGTTGTAATGTTCAGATATTTGATCCATTTTGATTTTACTTTAGTGCACGGTAAGAGTGCAGGGACCAAATGTGGTGGCCCATTCTTGTGCTGCCAACATGTAGGAGGCTGAAGCAGGAGGATGCTTGTGAGTTCCAGATCAGCCTGGGCAACAAAGTGAGTTCAAAGTCAGCTGAAACTGCATAAAAAGACCATCTCAAAAGGACAAAAAAAGGTATAGGTACGGTTTTAGGTTCCACTTTTAGCATGTGACTACTCAGTTTCCATGGTGCCTTTTGTTAAAGAAGGAATGTTTCCTGTGGCAAAAGAATTAGGCTGTTTTGTCAGATATAACATAGATGAGTGTGCCTGGAGTTCTTTTTGCATCCTGTATCTGTTCCATTGATCCACAAGTCTACTTTTTGCCCATATGGTGTTATTTTTATTACTGTATCTTTGTAGTATACCTTGAAATTAGGTGTTGTGATGCTCACTGCCTTGCGGTTGTTGTTTAGAATGCCTTTGGCTCTTCATGTTTCATATAAATTTTAAGACTGCTTCCTCTAGTTCTGTGGGGGAATTTTGTTCTTGGTACTTAACTGAGATTGTGTTAAATCCATACAACAGTTTGGAAGTATGTCAATTTTGACCATACTGGTTCTATCTAAGAAGATAACTTTCCAATTTTGTGCATTCACTTTTAACTCCTTTATTCAAAGTGCTATAGTTTTATTTTTATAGAGGTCCTAAGTATTTCATTTTTTTGATGCTATTGTAAAAAGTATTGTTTCTCTAACTTCTGGTGAATTTGTTATTGGTGTACGGGAACTCTATTGATTATTTATTATTGAAGATTGACTTTGTATCCTGCTGCTCTACAATGAATTTAACTTATTTTCTCTTTTTCTATTTTGAATTATAAAAAGGTTCATTTTGCCTCAGAGTTCAGATGGTTCAGAGTTGGGAACTTCATCTGGTAATGTCTCAAGAAGAAGCAGAGTTTAATACTGCTAGAAAACAAGTGTTTGAGTGTGTGTGTGTGTGTGTGTGTGTGTGTGTGTGTGTGTAGCAATTTCCAAAAAAAATATTCATTCAACTAAGAATAGTAGTAATATCAATATTTATTATGATGAGGAATATTTTCATTTTACTATTTTCTCTTTAATTGTGAGTATTCTACATGTGTTTTAAAATGTTTATTTTCATCAAAACATTTTAATCAAATAAACTGACATTTCTTATAGCATAAACAACAGTGTTTTTATTAATCAAACACTAGGCCCAACCAATTTTATATGACAAAAACATCAAAAGACGTGATATAAGAATAGTATTTTTGTTCAAAATTTATGTTAATGCTCTGATTCAGTAATTTAATTTTTTACTCTTTGTTCCTTTCAATTACAACAGTATAGTTCAGTGTTGTGAGATGTTGGAGTTTTTTGGGGAAATAAAATTTCACATAGGGTTAAATTAAGTTGTAAAGTCACTGGACTACTTTTACTCAACAAGCAAAAAGCACAGTGTGCCAGGGAGATAGTGCAGTAGATAAAGCGCTTGCCTGGCAAG